TTTATATTTGAATCCGAAGGGGAATTTTGATTTCCTTTTGAGATTTTCTCAATCTTTTCGGACAATGCACTAAACATGTTAATTAATTTATCGATGGCTGGGTCTGAATCTTTCTTAATATTATTTGGAGCCACCTGTTTTTCTTTAATTTTACCCGCAAAAGTGAATTCGGGGAAAAACGAGTCTTCCGGTTTTTGTGGTTTTCTCTCGACCGTGAGAGAACTTAACATTCGTTCAACGTCCGCCGCAATGAGAGATAACTCTTCTAAGTTCATAAATTCGCGACGTTTAATGCATTTCTTAAGTTCAGGTTGCATATTCATGTAAACTCTATCTAACATTTCGGTATTCGTCACGGCACGGTTGAATTTTCGATACAAACCACGCATACAGGTAATGTAATTGGCAGTGGATTCACCCGCGCCTTGAATTCTATTAGTCACCTGATCTTCAAGTCGCCATTGATAATTTACGTCACCAAACCTAGCACGACATGCTGATTTAAATTGGTCCCATGTGGACCAGTTATGTTTATTCTGCCTGTACCAGTGGAGTGCTATACCGTCAAGCAAAAGAACTGCGGCGCGAAGGACCTCTCCACTTGTGATTGACGAGATTTCTAACATATCGTCCACGCGTTCCAAAAACTCCTCAACACTAACCGTACTATCCCCCGCGAATTTTATATTCCATTTACGAACAATTGAATCTAGGGGTTTTCTAGGGGAAGCTGCGACCCGCTCGCGATCAAGGTTTGGAGACAACTGACAACGGATTTCATTTAGCTCATCTCGATTGGTTGAGAGCCGATTTTCTTTCAAATGCGCATGTTCAGCGTTAAACTCCGCATTTGTTGCGCATTGACAACTGATCGGTCTAAAAAGGTTAGATTTTTCGGGATCTTTATATCTTAGTCTAAGTTGATCCATGGGCGAGTCAACATCTAGGTTGGATGAGCCCTGGTTCATCGATTGATCAATTAGACTTTCTGAATCTAGTTCAATTAGACTCGAACTAGAAAGAGCCCTGTTAGAAAACTGGGCCAGGCTTGGCCCTTGACTGGGCCTGTCTAGCGCCTTGATTGGGCCAGGTTTAGGGTCGTCTAAATACTGGTGAGATAGTTTGCCCGGATTGGGCCGGTCACTGGTCAACCTCTTTTTTATAGTCCCAGTCGATGGGTCTAATATCCCTTGTTTAGAAAAGGCCGAATTGCCTTCTAAGAATTTACTGGTTGGGGGTTTGATTATATCCGGTCGACTAGGGGTTAACAGGTTCGCGCCTGATTGATTTTCAGAAATATTCCTTGTAGCGTTATCTATTTTCGCTATTACACTATCAAAATATTTTGGCAATGAAAAATCAAATTTTGGTTTTTCAATCGTTGCCGTCATTATCCCCGGTTTATAGAATTGAAATAATTCAAATGGGGGTGTCACCTGGTGTGTTAGTCCTAATGGGCCCGGTGTTTCCGAAACTCGCGAAAAAGTGACCGAGTTCGCTACTGACGATCCAACTGTTACGTAAGAGTGAATTGAACTAGTCGTTGATACTGTCGGAAAAAGTGTATTTTGCGAACACGGCAATGCAGCTAAAAAACCTACTGCATTATTATCAGAAATCGGGACCTCGCGTCTGTTTTCAACTGAATTTGAATTCGTATTTACCTCTGCACTAATTCCCGGGGGGCTTAATTGAATTTGGATTTCATCAGAGGGTAACCACTCGACTAAATTATCTCCAGCAAAAAGGCGCATATAGCGCGATGCGCGATCTCGGAGTATCTCAAGGGTTCCATGTGAATTAATTTTAAGAGAATCTAAATAGATTATTAATTGGTCGCGAGACCAATTGTCAAATAAGTTTGACCCATGGTTACTCGGTGAAGCCATTTTAGAAAATTTTAACAAATGATTTATGGAAATATTCTTTATTGTTCGGTAAGGATTTAAGAAAGGATGATCGTTCGCGACGCTCTGTCACAAAGTTTGGGCCACACTTTTAAAATTTAAATGTCCCAAATCAAAAAAATTTTAGTCAATTTTCATTGCTGAATTTTCACAAAATTTTATTCTTAAGTGATTTTGTATTTTTGAATGAACACAATAATACAGCCGATAATTTAATTACTTTTACTTTACAATGAAAATAAAAAAAAATAAAATTTTATTGATAATAAACTCGTCCGACACTGCGAAGCTTTTGAACTATTCCGGGAAGATATTTCAAGGAATTGTAAAAAAAATATTATAAAAAAATAAGTCAGTTGAATAATTATTTCACCACAATAGAAAACATAATAATAATTAAATTCATGTCATATTATTATACTATTATTGTTAATATTTTATTTTATCAAAATTTATTTTTTTTTTTTCGATTAATAATTTCGAAAATTTATTATTTTTAAAGATTTATTTATAATCATGAATTTAATTAATTTTTTTTTCAAAAGTCATTTAATTTTCACTATTGATTCTCAATTTTGTGCTTATTCAGTATTTTACCAAGAATTCACAATCATAACACAGGGCCAGGTACTTGGCCTTGTGACTTTATCAATTTATGTTTACTTGATTCGTCCTTATGGATCGAGTTCTTATTTTCCGAACTCACGCTCAAATCAAAAAATATTTTTCACAATTTATTTTCACTGAATTGTCAATTCTTGGTTCAAATATTTGAAATTTTTAATTTATTATTTTTATTTTAAGTTTTTCCAATTTTCACTTTATTATATTTTTATTTTCAAACTTTGTTCCACGAAAATCATGGTGATTTTCTTGCCCAACCTGTTGTGCGCCATTTATAACGTGTATTTTAATTTATTTATTTAATTGAATTTTACTGAAATTTTTAATGTTAAGTAATTAATTTAAAATGTGGATTTGAGTGAAATACCCGTTATATTTGGTTTATTTTAATTTAATGCCCGAGACGCCAGGTTATTTTGTGGAAAATAACCAAACCATTTATTTAATAAATTTAATATGCTTGCCCAGCTGTAAACAAGGAGAGCGGGTGGGTAAGGAAAATCACCAATATAATTTTTAAACCACACTTTAATTATAATATGAAACAGGTCCAGAAAAGACCTGTGAAAACACAGAAATTTAGTTATAATTTGAAACAGGTCCTGAAGGGACCTGTAAAAACAAACAAGTTTTCGTAGAACAGAGTTTTTATTATTTTAATATTTTAGGCGATCAAATCCGCCGAAAGTTCACTTTAAAACACTTTAAATGACGAGAGACTCACCGGGATACGCCGCCGTCCTCGTAGTAGACCTCGTCTCATATTTTACTTTTATAAACACAAATTTAATCTCAAAGACACCGCTGTCGAACGCCAAAACGAGAATGATTAAAAATGGCTGTTCGTCCGCGTAATCGCGTCCGTTCGTCGCGCTTCGTCTACATGGTGAGTCTCGCCCGAGTTACAAAGGATCCACCATTGGTAATCGATGCGCGTCAGATGGTAACTTCATTAGTTATCGACGGTCGAAAGAAAGTTCGATAAATGACCGATAGGGGCGCTGCACAATAACATGTGTCTGGAAGATGGCGATGACCAGTGTTTTGACAGGTCTCTGTTATTGAGAGTGGATCTTCGTTTTCCTGGCAATGTAGAATAATTGGGACTAACATCCAATTATACATGCCAGAAAACACCTCCCTTGATGTCCTCCCTCAAGGATATTCAAGTCGATGATCAACCCGACAATTGTGGAATTGGGGAACTTAACCCAGAGTGTTATTTTATGTAAAGTAAGAGAAAGAAAAGTGTTAGTGTTATTCTTAATTTTTTTTATGATCGGTGAACAATCATCTGACGATTCGCCCATAAACGACATTATGGAATTTATTGAAATAAAGGTAAAATAAAAAGTGATAGAATTGAAGTGAAATAGAGTGTGATTCCCGCTCTGGCGTTCAATTGACGATAAATTAATTATTTTTATTTATATGGAACGCAGGCAATAAAATGCCGCGTTACAATGTATATAACGATTTTTAAAGCTTTTTTGACGGGCTACAGGATGGTGATAAAATTTTTTTTAAAATAAAATTTGACCTTGAAATTCAAGGTCAAAATATTAATTTACGTATATCTCAAAATCGGATTTAAAATTTTTTATTTTACTATCTCAATGGAAAGCTTGACTAATTTGCTACAAAACATGTAATTTTCAGAGTGGGACCTTTTAATGTTTTTGAAATATTAATTAATAGATTAATGTTTATAACAAATGAAATATTTTACAAACAAATAAAGTTATCGTAAATCTGAACTTATTAATTTAAAGGTAAGGTAATTCCGCATCCAATGAGCCCTATATGACGTATTTTGGGTAAGAAGATTGTTAACAAACAATTCCAATGTTAACTAATAGAGCTCGCTGGATGCGGAATTACGTTAATTTTCAATTGCTAACTTCAGAATTACGGTAACTTTATTTGGTATTAAAATATTTCATTTGTTATATACATTAATTAATTAATTAATTAATATCTCAAAAACTTTAAAAGATCCCACTCCGAAATTTATATGTTTCGTAGGAAAATAGTCAAGCTTTCCATTGAGATAAAAAAAATTTTTTAATCCGATTTTGAGATATACATAAATCAATGTACAAGTAGGTATACTAATGAGGACTATGAGGATTTTTTTAATATTAGTAGAAAAGTTATTTTTGACAAAAATAAAAGATCCCACTCCGAAATTTATATGTTTCGTAGGAAAATAGTCAAGCTTTCCATTGAGATAAAAAAAATTTTTTAATCCGATTTTGAGATATACATAAATCAATGTACAAGTAGGTATACTAATGAGGACTATGAGGATTTTTTTAATATTAGTAGAAAAGTTATTTTTGACAAAAATTTTGAATAGTTTTTACATGATAGAGTCTGCTATATAATTGTACAATTTTTTGTAGGCTGTTGTTGGACCCCGAATGGAGTTTCTCGACATTGTTCCGGAATGGCCAGGTAGAGCACATGACAGCCGGATATTTCAAAATACGTTAATTCACATGCTTTATATTTAAGGACAATTAGATGGGATTATTGTAGGTGATAAAGGATATCCCTGTTTGCCTTTTCTTATGACACCTCTCAGAAATCCTCATACTGAAGAAGAAATCATGTAAGTATTTAAATTGTTTTCATATAAATATAAGTTAACTTGCTGTAGAAAAAATTTGACATTTATGTAATATAAAATTGTTTCAGGTATAATGAAATTCAAATACGAACGAGAATAATTGTTGAGCGAACTTTTGGTGTATGGAAGCGAAGATTTCCATGTTTGGCACGGGGAATGTGAACTAAGCTTATTTGTTCAACAACAACTGTTGTTGCATGTGCTGTTTTGCACAATATGGCATTACGTTTCAATGACATATTAGAAGATGATGACTTACAAGAATATGAAGAAGTTCCTGTACCTAATGCAGAAAATATAAATATGGATGGAGAAGTCGCACGTCAATTACTAATTCACCGTTTATTCAATGGATAATAAGTAATAATTTGGAATAAAAAATTATTTATTTCAATATCATATTTTAAAAAGAAAAACCATTACATTAAAATATTTTATGTACATATTTCAATAAAATCTTTTCTTCACAATAAATAACATTGATAATATTTTTACAGCTTTACTTCATTTCACTTCAGAATAAAAATTTGTTTAATAATCTTAAATGTAAATGGGTCAATCCATTATATTTCGAATGAAGTCGTCGCTGACTAATTTTTAAAAATTATAATACTTTGCAGGAATGATTTTGAAGTTATCAAGATCACGAAATGAAAAGAATTTTATTAAAATTTTAATTATTTATTGCAAAATATGAATTTAAAGTATATGAGGTGCTGAAAACTGTCAATTTTTTAGCCATTAGAAAATATGCAAAAATACGTAGAATTTACCATAAAAATAAAAAAAAATTGTTGTAATTTACTAAGAATGAATAAATTTATCATTATCAATTGATATAATTATTTAAATATGTGAAATAATATATAAAATATGATTTTCAAGTTCGCCTGTCAAATAACCTAAATTTGCAAATTTCATCTATTAAATGTGAGAAAGAGAAGTCATTAAATTGAAAAAAACCTTACCAAATATAAAGTACCTGTGACTAACTTTTAGTTTTTCTTAGCACTTTTTTCCTTTTTTCTTCATAAATGGGAAATAAAAAGCAATAAAAATTGGCACTTTGCTTATTTTCACCATTTTCAAATGTAAATAACTTTCTTGGAGAAAACTGAAAAATTACAAAACTTGGGCAATATCTAATTGATCACTAACTACACACACTGGAAAAAAATTCGCTTTGGTCCCGAAGATACTTTTTGAGATAATTAAGTTTAAACTTTTTACAATTTTTATCAGGTTAATACATGTAGTTTTTTAAAGACGAAGTTAGGTTTTATTGGTTAAACATTTTGAACTAACTTCAATTTTATAAAAATCACATGCATTAACCTGATAAAAATTGTGAAAAATTTAAACATAATTATCTCAAAAAGTATCTTCGGGACCAAAGCGAATTTTTTTCCAGTGTGTGTAGTTAGTGATCAATTAGATATTGCCCAAGTTTTGTAATTTTTCAGTTTTCTCCAAGAAAGTTATTTACATTTCAAAATGGTGAAAATAAGCAAAGTGCCAATTTTTATTGCTTTTTATTTCCCATTTATGAAGAAAAAAGGAAAAAAGTGCTAAGAAAAACTAAAAGTTAGTCACAGGTACTTTATATTTGGTAAGGTTTTTTTCAATTTAATGACTTCTCTTTCTCACATTTAATAGATGAAATTTGCAAATTTAGGTTATTTGACAGGCGAACTTGAAAATCATATTTTATATATTATTTCACATATTTAAATAATTACATCAATTGATAATGATAAATTTATTCATTCTTAGTAAATTACAAAAAATTTTTTTTATTTTTATGGTAAATTCTACGTATTTTTGCATATTTTCTAATGGCTAAAAAATTGACAGTTTTCAGCACCTCATATACTTTAAATTCATATTTTGCAATAAATAATTAAAATTTTATTAAAATTCTTTTCATTTCGTGATCTTGATAACTTCAAAATCATTCCTGCAAAGTATTATAATTTTTAAAAATTAGTCAGCGACCACTTCATTCGAAATATAATGGATTGACCCAAATATAAAATTAAATATAATATGATATAATAAAATATAATTCATAGTATAATGGAATGTACAAATATATAGTTAATATAAATAAATCTAAAAATAGTATAAAATCTTGTATAATAAATTGTTTCTACTAAATTAGAAAATGTTCACTTAATACTGTTAATTGTACTAGCTTTGGAATAAAATAATTTAAAAGAGTAGGAAATAAGGTTATTAAAAAAATAACACAAGTTAAAAACTCGAAGCATAAACAATACATCTCAATTCACAATGGTGTAAGCTCTATTGCCTGTGTTAACCGTATTTCCGCCAATTGAGCTTCTGCTTCGGCTTTAGGAATTTCCAATTCGTGAATTTTTTTTAAATGCTGCAATTCCAACTTCTGTTTTCTAATTTGGTGCTCCAATTTTAACGAAAGCAGATCTTCCTCTTTCTTGATTATATTCCACAAACGCTCAGTCTTTTTCGTCTCCTTTTCAAGCTTTTGCTTGTCTACTTTACTACTTGCTGTAGAGCGCACTATGTCCAATTTTTCATCGTCGAGCATGGACTCCTTTACACACCTCCTTTTCGCAGACAAAGGAGTTGATGTTTGTGAACAATTATTTTCATCTTCTTAAAAAAGGTCACTTTTTAACAACAGTCACAGAAGATGACGTTTTCAAAAGGAATGAAACCTCTGATTCCTGAATCTCAGAATTAGAAGTTACAACATTTCTGAGGGACTCTATTGATACTTCTTCATCATCAAAAACTGCTTCTCGACGTTCTAAAATACAAAAATGATTAGATTATAAATTATTAATAGTATATCTATTTTAAACTTACAACCTGAAAAATACATTATCATTTGTTAAATCTTCCGAGAAGTTTGATGAAAAATATGATGGCGCAGTGGCCATTAAATGAGGAACTATAGCAGCTATATCTGGGTCCACTTCAGCAACATTTATTGGAACATTTAAGTTTCCCGTTGCCATTACTTCTTGCTTTTCCTGAGTTAAAGCATTTCTCTGCTACAGCTTCATGTTGCTCCACATTTTTTTTAACTGTTTAACCGACCTCTGCAAGAAAATTTTTTTTTAAAAATTTCAAACTTTAAACATTTAATTTGTTTATTACAATTAATTATTTTTACCTGCTCTGCAATAAGTACTGAGCCATTGTATTTTTCCTCGATTTCACTCCACGCAGCCTCCTTAGCTTTCAAGGTGGAACAATCGCTTTTGCGATTTTCAATAACATGGGAAAATCTTTTGAGATTTATTTGGATACATTTATTTCTACAAGAACATTTATATCCAATCGCATATATTCAGAAAATTGACAAAAATTATTGTTTTAGAAGTTGTTATAAATTAAAATTTTTTTAAAATTTTTTACAAATTTTTAAAATTAAAAAATTTGTATGCATTTATAAATTGTATAATTTGGTTTTTTAAAAATATTTAATAATAATGAAAAGATTTTTTTTTTAAATTTAATAATTAAAAATTAAAATCACATAATTTTTTAAAAATCTATAAAAATGTTTCAAATAATTTTACCATATCTTAATAATGGAGAAAAATTTATCTAAATATATTTCATCAGGATTAAAAACATTTCACTTTTTCTCCCTTCAGGTAGTCATTTTTGTATCCTTTTACTTTTATTGCGGGTACTTTTTTTCTGAAAATATTGAGATTTTGCTCGCGTTAAGGGACTTAATCCTACCCCCAATAAAATCCAGATGTTACATTTTGCTCATCTCATTGAAAGCAGTAAGAAGTAAGAATGATTCTACTTTCAAAAATTAAAATATATATTTAACATTAAAGAAATTATTTTAGAAAAATATTTCTTAGAACAAAATAAAGTTTATTCGTTTATAACAAATTTTCAACTTTGTTTCTATTTATTCTTTTGATAATTCATTACTTTTCTGACAATGAAGATAAGATATAAGAAAAATTACCATAGTCTTTTTAATTTGAAAAAGAAAAAATAAATTGTGTTCTACAAATTGTACGCCTAATTTTAAAAATATTAATGTTAATATATTGATAATTATTTTGAATATTTTACTATTATGTATCATTATTTATCAAATTTTAAATATATTTCATTCGTTAATTATTAAAAATTTTTACTTTTAAACAATATTAAATATATTCACAGGTTCATATTTTTGAATTTTGTTTTAATTCTGTTTTTTATTACAAACATTTAATAAGAATAAATATTTTACAAAGTTACTTTTTTCAAATGATTACACAAAAAATTTTTATAAATAACATTAAAAATATACTTACATAATTAAATCACTTGTTCACAATAAAACAGTTTTTAACCTTATACACAAAATTTAATATTTATATTTGTCAATTATTATTAACTATAAAAACAATAAAAACAATTATAATAACAGAATGAACTGTTCGTTCAAACGCTGAAACGAAAAACTCAAATTGAAAACAACGCAAGAATAAATATTTCTTGGCGCATTGAGGCGAATTTTCAAAACCATTTCTTATTGGTGGATTCAAGAGAATATTTACGGAAAAAACCGATCGTTCAATGAGATCATCTTAAGCATTTGCTTGGTCAAGAAATTCTTAAGCTGCATTTCCTTTACGGGGTTTCCTAAATTTTTTTGCCCTAAAATAGAAGGTTTATAAAAGATCGTGTACTCATAAGTTTTAAAATATAATTGATCAAAAGTTTTTACATGTTACTATATACGTCAAGAACTATTTAAAAAAAAATTGCGATCTTAAAAAATATTATTATGCTCCTTCTACAGAGGTCGCTATGTACACTGGTCAAAATCAAAGTCCTTTACGGTAACCACTGTAGCTCATCGCAGAATCATCTAAAATAAAAAAATCAAACGTGATTTTAAAGTTTAAGACCTAATACAGGTCCTAAACCTCGAGATATTAAAAAAAATCAAAAATTAAAAAAATGGCAAGCTTTGGAACCCAAAAAACTGAAAAAACACCATTTTTTTGACAATCAATCACTCACAAAAACCTGATTATTGAATATTTTAAATATATTAGAGGTTTAGGGCCTGCAAAAACTTCCACTGAATCGAATGCAACTTGAATTTTTGAAATCAGTCAAACGGTTTTTGAGTTCTACTGGTTACCATTTTTAAATATAGTGTTTTGAGAAAAAAGTGTTTAAAGTTTTGATATCAAAAGGTTATAATTAGTCAAGCAGAAGTAACTAAATCAGCTTGAAAATTCTTACTCAGGGGTTTTTGGGGTCGCTGATTACGAATATGATGTCAGATTTTAAAAATTCAAAATGGCGGATCCAATATGGCGGACATGAAAGTTAAAAATCAATTGCATTTACTCGAAACTTGGTACTCGGGGGTTTTTGGGGTCGCTGATTACGAATATGATGTCAGAATTTAAAAATTCAAAATGGCGGATCCAATATGGCGGACGAAAAAATTTTAAAACTAATCGGATTT